TCACCCCGGTGCTAAGTCCTCACCGTGCGGTGCTGAGAACATTGCGTGTGGCTTTAGATTTTCTAACGCATGTTTTTATGAAGTATTGTATGATTTTCTCTCTTTTTTCACTCGACTTTGTGTCCTTAAGTGAATGGGATATTCTAACATCTCGCATCTCCCTTGTGGTTTCAACTTGAGAAATCAGAGGTTTATTTTTTTTTGAAAGATTTATTTATTTATTTATTTATACAAGAACAGGGGTACAGGCCAGAGTCGTGGGAGGGTGAGAGGATTCACCAGAGACAGAGCGGGGAACAGAACAGGCAGACTGACGAAACACACTGCTGAGGGGAGCAGCGGGGAGACAGGAGAGGTCTGCCGCCCCGTGTGGGAATCTCCCTGGCCGGCCGGGGGTCGAACCTGTGCTGCAGAGGCTGCGGACAGCTTCACAGCGCTGCGCTCAACCCGCTGCGCCACCGGGAAGGCCCGAGAAATCAGAGGTTTATAGGTATTGGTGGGCTGGAGGGCTCACATATGCATAACTGCTACATTTAACCATTTCCCATTTCGAAACTGTTTTTGTTTAGGTCATAAAGTTAGTCTTTATGGTCATCGCTTTCCCATATAATTGAAATTCAGAGTCCAGTGAGTGTATTTGTAAATAAGGCTTTTCTTGCAGCTTGAAAAATGTGCTTTAATGCTCTGCTTTTACCCCGGTGTCCCCTCACGCAGCAGCCCCTGGGGCTCCTGGGCCGCGCCCACTTAGCTGTCGATGTCCTTGGCGTGAAGACAAGAGTCGCTGTAACGGCCCCAAGGACCGCACGCCTGGCTGGGTACGGGGCTCATAGCAGGGAGGGCGTCATGGTGTCCCGGCAAGCACCACACCTAGTGCTGTTCCCATCCCAGAGTGGAGGAAGCTGCTTGTGCAGAATCACAGGGGTGGCCGGGCCCATGCATAGCCCAGGCATCTGCCCCGAAACCCCGGAGCCTGGCTCTGGATCAGACACCGGGGCTTGTTTCCCGCTTGGGCCATTTGGCCAGCTGCGAGAAATCGGTTCCATGTCTTCGTGTGCCAGGAAGCCCTGCCGGGTGAGGTTGGGGTTACTTCCGTGGAGGGCGTGTGCTCACAAGCAGCTCAGAACGTGACTCCTGTGCCTTCCGTGACTCCTCCTTTAGGCAGCTTTTTCTCTCTTCCTCCTCCTCCTCTCCATCATCCTTAGACTTTGCGAGTCACACGGTCTCTGTCACGACGAATCAACACAACGATTCGAGTCATCGGGGTGTGGAAGCAGCCGCAGACAGTAAGACTGTGAGTGGGCGTGGCTTTCTTCCAGTCAACTTTACCAGCAAAACACGCCCTGGCGCGTTGGACCAGGGGCCGCAGGTCGCCAACTGCTCTCCAGAGCACTTAGTGTTTCCTCCAACCTGGATCCTTGTCAGACGCACCTGAGGATTTTCCCAAACTACCAGTTCTGTGGTTCTTCCTCATCCCAGAAATGGAATTGGGAATCCATGTTTTTTCAAAGCTCTCCAGAGCATTGAAAGGGAAAACAAAAGCTTTAAAAAAAAAAAATCCCTGTATACTTGAAGATATGTTGCATGTTGCATCTGAAAAATTTTCCCCCAAATAAAGGACAACTGAAAACAAGAAAGAAGCAAATAAAGTTAGAAAAAATCCTGGGAATATAAAGTGTGCCCCCGAGGTGAAACAATGATAATCTCCCTAAACTAGAAATCAAGTAATAAATGGACATAATTGAAAGCCACATAAGTTATGGAATATAAAGTTAAAAACATCTGTACTATGTGGCCTCGCTGTTGGCCCAGCGGGGGCAGCGCTGTGAAGCTGTCCACAGCCTCTGCAGCGCCGGTTCACTCCCAGCCCGCCCGCGGGATTCCCACAAGGAGCAGCAGACCTCGCCTGTCTCGCCGCTGCTCCCCTCAGCAGTGGGTTTCAGTAGACCTGCCTGTTCTGCTCCCCACTCTGTCTCTGGTGGATCTTCTCACCTTCCCGTGCCTCCGGCCTGTACTCCAGCTCTTGAATAAAAATAAATAAATCTTAAAAAATATTTATCTGTAACAGTGCAAAGTGATAAAGGGGAATTGGAAAATACAAAAGTTCAGTGTTACAAAAAAAAAAAAATCAGTCGGATGGTCTGGCCTTTAGCTAATATATATTGCAGAGAAATATGGGGAAAAGAAATAATAGACGGAAAATGTTTGGAGTTGAAGACTTTTTTCATATTGAACAGACCCGCCAAATGGCGGATGTGATGAATGAAGAAACGCCCAGAACTGGACACATTTTCCTGAACTTTCAAATCTCTGAGTATAAAGAACATAGAGCTTTCAGGAGGAAAAACAGCTTCTGTGCAAAAAAGTATCCTCCAGGGCCACCGAACTGCCAGTCGTGTGGGAAAGACCACATGAAGATATCTTAGAAATACAAGTACTTTGAAAATTCATGTCTGCACACATCCATTCTGAAGTTGTACTCAAGGACACGCTGCAGCAAAATGAAAACTGAATACAAGAAGGAAGGACAGGAAACAGAAAAATCAGAATGATTTAAGATTAAATTTAAATAGTTGCCAATTTAAAAAAATTTAATCACATTCTAATATTTTAGAATGAAAAGTTGGAGGAAGAAAAGTGAACACAGACAGGAATCTGAGACTTGTTTAATGAAACTGTAGATACTGACGGGTTCTAGGCAGAGATCAAAAAACAGGTGTTAATGAACATGTTGAAATTTAGGTATAACTGGCAGAAGATTAAAAACAAGATTATGACAAGAATAAACAAAGCTAAGTCCATAAACCCAACAAAAGGTAGGAAAAGTAAAGCAAGAAAATGTGTTAGAAAACTTTAGATGACCGGATTAGCTCCAAATCGTTTATCCATAGAAATGAATAAGTTCCTCTTTTCAATAATTAAGTCTTTTTTAATCCAGTTAGATGCAGTTGACAAGATATTTAAAACATATTAATCCCCAAAATTCAAAACAAAGGAACTAAGGCATTGTGTCAGGAAGTCCTGGTCAACTCTGCAGGGTAAATGCACACGTGTATCCCGGTCTCTCTGCAGCGTCGGGGTGAGGTGAGATCCGTGCTGAAAGGGGCTTTTCAGAGAAAGTCTGTTCAGCAGGGAGGCCAAGAGCGCTCCCTCTGCTGGCCCCCACCCCCCAGGGGACCACGCTTACACCTCTGCCAGAAGGGGGGGCAGGATTTCTAGCTGCATGAGCTGACCAGTATCCAGATCCTGACATTTCAGACACCCCAATAAAGTCACTCTGTCCCCCCATCAACAACCCCTTACGCAGCCCTAAACAGCGTCCTGGGTGAGCTGACTGCAAAGTGTCAGCGGGTGCCAGGGCAGGCAGGACACCAGCCAGAAGAAAAGAAACTGGAAGAGAAAATCAGCCAGAGGGGAAGATAAAACGTGAAAATCAAAATCCCAGAAGTCATAACCTTGGGGAAATAAAGGATGATCGAGTCCCGAAATCAGAGCGTGAAAGGGGAGAACCAAAGAACAAGGAAGAGCTACGGGAAGGGAAAATAGAATAGTAGAAACTTAAAAAATTCATTCAGTGGAAAGATAAAGTTAAGAAAACATCCCAGAAAGCAGTAAAATGCCACGGGGGTGGCTGAGGGGCGCGTGTAAAGACAGCGCAGGAGCCGCCGGAGAACAGGGCCGGAGGGGCGTGAGGAAGGAGGTGGAGGAACAGGAACCTTCCTTCTAAGGAAAGAAGACGGGTTTCAGGTTTGAGATGCTCTTTGGCCTTGAGGTCACCCACACCTTGGCTGTCGTGAAGAGGGTGGCAGCCAACATCAGGCGGCGCTGTCTTCTGAGACCCCGGTTCTGGCTCCTCAAGGTGAGCAGCCAGCAGGGGGTGCTGCTCCTCCCAGCTCCGATTTTTTGAAGAACTTTCACGCTCTTTCCGTCAACTTTCCCTTCTCTCCACGTCCTGGCCTACCCCTACCTTTTCACTTCGGGTGCTGGCGGCTCCCTGAGAGGGGCGCGTCCTGGCGCGGATCCGCGTTTCTCTGATGAGTGTCGGGAAGCCCCTTATCATTGACCTGGTGGTCACAGGTGCCTTTTGGAAAAAAAAGTCAATTCAGGTCCTTTACCCATTTTTTAAATCACGGTCGAGTTGTGGGAGCTCCTAATCTCCCTCGGATGCGCACTACGTCACCAGGAGACTCTCGTCCCTGCTCGTCGGGCATCCGTGCCCACCAGGATGGCTCTTTGCTCTACAAAAGCTGTTTTAGTTTGATGTTCTCCCCTTGTCTGTCATACGTGTATTTCCTATGCTCCCCGACGGCAAGTTTTTCCCTCTGTTTTCTTCTAGTAGTTTCATGGAATCAGGTCAAGGAGTTAAGTCTTTCCTCCATTTTTGGGCTGATGTTTGTATGTGGTGTGAAGCCGGAGTCCAGAGTCCTCCTCTGCACGCAGACGTCCAGCTGTCCTGACAGTGTTTATTGGAGAGACTGACCTTTCCCCGCCATTGTTTTCTTGGATGGGGGGATGTGTGGCAGCCGAGGGGGCAATCTTTGGAAGCTCTAACATCATGCACATGCAATGCAAACACAGCGATACGCACACACTCACATACACAACCCGATGGGGGAAGCTCAGCGCCACAGACAGCCAGGCGACCGGGAGAGCTCCCGCAGCCGGACGGCTTGAACAAGACCAAGTAGGATTGGAGCATAACCCAATATGCAAAGTGCATCTGTGAGTCCACCTGATATAAATAAGTAACTGGAGAAATTAAGAATCGGGGGGAAGAGATGCATCTTCTATTCAGAGGCATTCCAATTGACGCCCCATCTCTCCTGTGCCTGGCGGCACGTCACTTCACCTTTTCCTGCCAGATCTGGTTTTTGTTCTGTGTATATTGCTCTTGGGTCTTCGGCGAGACATCACTGAAGGGCCTGACGTACTTCACGAGTGGCTCGTGTTCCCCACCACAGCAGTAACCTTATGATCTCAAACCTCTGTGCTTCTGTTTTCAGAGTCCCCCGCCTCTGTTTAAAGAAGTCAGTGCCACAGTGATGCAGGCTGAGAAGGTGGCCTACCTGCGGAACCAGGTGCAGATGAAGCATGAAGAGAGCTATAGAGAAGCGCTGGTCACGATCAAGGACAACCTGAAATTAGTAGAAGGTGCAGACATCAAGGAGAACCTGCAGGAACAGATCCGGCACTGGTTCATCGAATGCAGGTGAGCGGAGCCGCGCGGCAGCACGCCCTGTCCCCACCGTGGGCGCGGTCCTGTATGATTTTAAGCACCGAAGCATGTTGCTATAGGCTCGTGCGGTTTCTGGCTTCATTTTAGAAAAGTGAAATGTTAAGGCCAAGAGTTCAGGAGCTAATTCTTTTTAAAATGAAGTTGCTTTTTGTCCTGGTATTTGAAAATAGATACAGTCTCTATAGTGCTTCTGAGATGACCCGATGCTGGGGTCCAGGGCAGGTCTGTCCGGAAACCAAGAGGCCCCCAGCAGCTCATGCTCCCCTCGCTGGTGGGCTTGGCTGGCTTCTCTGCTTGCTAGAGGTTGGAGACCCCCAACTGCGGTCACAGTCCTCTGAGGCAGCTCTGGAAGCTGACACCTTGGCCCCCGGGAGTCCCTGAAGTGCAGGGTGGACAAAGCCACAACTGCCTGTATTAAGGGTCTGTTTTAATACTCCTAAAGTAAATATTGAATGACTTCAAGGTTGTTATAAAAGATGGTTTTGAAGCACACAGCGCAAACACATGTGGAACACAGTGCAAGTTTGCACACAGAATGTGTCCCCTTGTAAGGAACGTGATCAGGAGAAGAGTGTGTGACTTATTTTTTTCCTGAGAGGGGAAGAGGGAGGATTGGTGACGGTGTCCGAGGAGCCGAGGGCCGGGCCTGGACCCTGTGCAGTACCACAGCTGTGGGCTGTGGACTCACAGAGTGCGTGGACAAGACTGCTTAGCTCTTCAGGACCGGAGAATTGAACTTGCAGTGATAGAAAATGAAACTTCCTCTCAAAAAATTACATCAAAGCATGTATATTCCTGAGGTGGGCAATCTATGGCCCTCCCCTGAGTGTGAGAGCTCCACTTCCAAAGAAGAGAATCTGGTGGGAAGCTGGGGTGTCCCGCCATCTTGCCAGCCTCCCTCATCCCCACTGGATCTCCCCCTCACTGTTTATGACAGAAATCAGCTGCCTTGTGCAGAGGCCCATAAGAGACAAGCCCTCCCACAACCACACACATGAACTTGGGAGTGGGGTCCCCCCAGGTGAGCTTTCAGATAAGATGCAGCCCTGGCCGCCCCTGGAGGCAGCGGAAGGCAGGGCACCACTCCTGGCTCCCTTCCCACATTCAGCAATGTCATGAATGTGTATTTTTTAATCACTAAGTTTTGGGGTAACTTGCTATGCAGCAACAGCTATCTCATAGGTATCAAGTGCATTTACAACGATTTAGAAAACTAAATGATTTTGTGTTAACTTTGCATGGGATGCTAATGTAATATTCCTCCAATCATAATTAGATTTTATAACAAGATTTCTTTATGAAAGTTTGCTAAAGCAATTACATGCTTTTGACTGGGGGACCTCGTTCTTTATTATATAAATACAAATTTAAAATACTGATGAATTTTTAAGATTCAAAATTCATTACATTTGTGAACTTTTTATATTTTATTAGGGATTTTATTAGAGTAGCAAATAAAATATTTTAAATGAAAGAGAAATTTTCATGTGATCTTATGGAGAAGGCTGCCCCCACTTTCTGCCTGTATCCCACCTCCTTGCAAAGGGAAGCCACAGATCTCCCCCACCCCCCTACCCCCGACAGCAGAAGTGGGGCTCGTGGACAGTGTCTGGGCTCATGTGTGTCGGGTCCCCCGGGTGGGCTGGTCTCTGTGCCCCCAACTGCTGGGTACCCCCCTTCAGATCTCTGGCTTCTGAGCACAGCCCCCTGGGTACTGGTTCTGTGGGGGCCGCTCAGGAGCACAGGTGACACCAGGCCCAGGTCTCAGGGAAGGTGGACAGTCTCAGACCCTCATCCAGCAGGGCCAACCCTCTCCATCCCTCCAAGCTGCCCACACAGGAAGACACGCCCCGCCCAGGTTTGGCTGCAGGGTTCTGCCAGATCTCAACACTTGTCAGGCCCTGGAGGGTGGTGCCCCCACTCACCTGCTTTCTTTTCCATCCCCGAGCTCCCCATCGCCAGCTCCCGCTTCCCTCCTGATGCCCCCCATTTCCTCCCTGTCCCCTCCCTGAAGCCTCCTGGGCACCCCCTCCCCTCCCCCGGCAGCCTCCTCCCAGGAGCACCAGACCTGGGCGCCTGCAGGTGCCTGTGACTCCAGGGCGAGACCTGCACCTGCAGAAGCCCTCAGAGCAGGTGTGACTCCTCCCTTGGGTGCCCACCTGCCAGCGATTTCACTCTTGCCCAGGTCATGTTGTGTCTAAAGGAGAGAGACTTGAGGTGATTCTGTGCAATCACGGAAATTTCTGCAGAAATCACTGTCCAGGAGAACTGGGTTCAGATGAAATCGGTTTCTTGTTATAAGCTTCACTTCTGTGGTTGAGGAGGGTGACGCTGCCTGCGTCCGTGCGCCCCACGGCTGGCTGGGCCTTTCCTGCCCTCTCCCGGGACTTCAGAGAGTAGGTGTGCGAGCTCTGGCTTCTGTAAGTGGGATGATTCTTTACATGATTCCAATCCAGTATTTCATTAGGAGACAAAATCAAATTGAGAGCCTATTGTGCACACACGCACGCACGCACCCCTGAGACACACGTTTGCAGGTGCAGGGGACCTTTCTGAAGTGTCCACAAGACACTGTTAGCATGGCCACCCCGGGGCAAGAGCAGTGGAGGCAGGTGTTATGTTTTATTCCTCTACACATTAGAAGTCTTTTTTCTAGCAAGAACTACGTTTATACTAAAAAGCCTGTTAAAATATATGCTAGGAGAAAAATGAGCAATCCATCTGGAATAATCCAAAATAAACATTTCGGGTTTCTTTAGCACATCCTAACTTCAAAGAGTCGGCTCAGGCAGCCCCTGTGTGGCACCCTCAGGGACCATCCTGTGGTCAGACGAGGGGCCCCAGTCTCTGTACGGGGAGGGCCCGGGGTTCTGGGACAAGCACCCTTTCTCCCGCCCTCACTGGTGCCCAGGAGCCGCCCTCCCGTGTCCCGGGGAGCCCCTCGCAGACCACCCCTAGCGGGCACTTGTCCCGTGACCCCACGGGCCAGCGGGGAGCAGCTCCCTCGGGCCTTCTGTGTGACCGCGGAGATGGCCGGACGCCCTCTCTGAAGGAACGTGCGGTCGGGGCCCAGCCTTCCTGTATTGGATCACATCTACCAGTCTGGCTGGTAAAAGTCCTTTCCTTGCTTTTTTAAATCAAAGACAAACAAAAAGCAAACACTGACGTTGGAAACGCGAGCGGCACAGTCCCCGGACGCGCCGGCGGGACACACGCTGCTCGGGCGCCCCAGGAACCCCGGAGCTCGGCTCGTCCCCCCCACCCCACCCCCGGCAACTTTCCTCGGCTCTTAGAGTTGCCAGAGGGGTTGTCGGGCTTCTAAGTCAATTTATAAGCTCATTTAAGGAAGTATTTTTCTAAAGTGTGGAGTAACACACGCTCAGTGTAGAAGCTCCCCAAACAGAGAGGAGTTTAAACGAAACCCAAGTCGGCTTTGGGCCGAGCAGAGCCGGCTGCGGTGCGGCCTTCTGCTAACTCCCCGCCGGCCTTTCTCCCTCAGGTGCGTCTTTTAGTTACGACTTTATGCGTCCTTTCGTTTCAAGTTTCGAAAACTTAACATTGGATTTTCTCGTGTCCTTGAGCTAGTCCCCCAGGGGTCCCCAGGGATGGCGCGGCCATCGGCGGCTCGCAAGCTCCGCCTGTGAGTTCATCATCATCTCTGCAGTCGCTTGTCAAGCTGATGAGAGAAAAACGCCGCCTTGGTAATCTCATTTCCGCTGATTTTATTCGCAGAAGGAGGCGGTTTGAAGCATCTTGTGGGTTTTGGTCAGTGGAATTCCAGTGAACTTTTCCTGTCCTTATCTCCTTCCCTGTCTTTTTCTTTTAAGTGAGCTCTGGAGTACAGCGACGCATGTAAAGCCGACGCTGGAGGTGTTTTGATGTGATTGTAATAACGACTTCCCAGTTTATCAGTTGCCTTTTATTGTTTTTTTTTTTGAAGATTTATATATTTATGCACACAAGAGCTGGGGTCCAGGCCAGAGGTGCGGGGGGTGAGAGGATCCACCAGAGACAGAGTGAGCGGGGAGCAGAACAGGCAGATTGACCGAAGTACACTGCTGAGGGGAGCAGCGGGCGAGTCAGGTCTGCTGCGCCATGTGGGTAGCTCCCTGGCTGGGATGGATCCAGCTCATGCTGCTGTGGCTGCGGGTAGCTTCATAGTCTGAGACTTAACCTTGCGCCCCCAGGGAGGCCCACGCCTCTGATTTTTTAACTGGCCTAAAGGGGAGAGAGGAGAGAAGAAGGGCGAGGAAGGGAGAACGAGAAGCAGGAGAGAGGTGAGCGGTCACGGGGCCAGCGCCCTGTCCTCTCTGGCTGCATCCCGCTGGCCCCGTGCCCGGTGTCACTGCCGTCACCCCCTGCTCCCCGCAATGGCCATCCAGGAAAGGGCGTAACATGCCTGCTGCCCACGGCTATTGTGGGGCAGAGTGAGATGGTGCAAATAGGCTCCTCGTCGAGGGTCTGGTTTTGTGGACAGTCTCCTGTGTGGGGAGCGCCGCCCCCGGCCCGCCCTCCGATGGGGCTGCCCGCCCTCACAGAATTTGCCCCTTTGCGGCAAGCTGGGTTGTGCCGATCTCTTCCTGTTGATTATCTTGGATTTTGTCGGGTCATCAGGGAGACACGGCAAAGGCCTGTCCCCGTCACACCCCCTCCCCATCCCGTGGAGCACAGGGAGGCCTCAGACCCAGCAAGGGTCTCCCGTGGGCCTCCTCGGTGCGTGCCCCAGGCTCATGCACTCTCCGGCCCAGGGCCCTCTGGCTCCGTGGTGCAGTGGCTGTGGCCCCCTGCAGAGGCTCGCTGCTGGCAGTGGCCATTTTTGACAAAGGCTGCAATCCTGGAAACCTGACTTCAGCTGGTGGGCGCTCGGCTGCTCCCCGGCCAGCTCCAGCCTCCACCGCTGCCTTTACCTCAGCTCTGCTGCAGCCAAGTCAGTGCTGATGGAGGCCTTCGCCTTTTGCTCAGCCCTGGCCTCC